GCTTCGGCCCCCCAATTGTCTGAAGGACAGCAACCTGGTCCCCGGCTCGGCTCAAAAAGGTTGCCTACCCCTGTTTTAGGGTATTCAGGCCTTAAATGCTACATGACTTCTTCGCCTTAGGCAGGGTCACCATTTGAGCCAGGGACAACTTGAAGGCACACAACACTCGGACACAACTGCTTCTGGGTCAGAGAAGGAAAGGGAAGGGCAGCAGCAGCAGCAATCATCCTTTTGCACAGAGAGAAGCCCCTTCCCTTTCTGCCCTTTCTGCAAAGCCAGGCAGGAGACCCTGTCGGCTTCCCTTCCCTCGAGTGCCATCTAGCGATGATGCCATCCTTTTTCCTCCTGGCTGGAACTGGGGACACCCCAAAAACCCAGCAGCACCCCACTTTTATATGCCAGCCGTGACCCCTGCGACGCCAACGCCGCCATTTCCCATTGGAAGTGCGCAGGAGGGTGCAGATGCGCAGATGCACAGAGAGACGCTGCGTTTGGGAATCCGGACTCACTACACACACACACACACACACACACACACACAAGGACAGACCACCAAAATAAACAGCAACTCAACCCTCAGTATATTAACAAAACGTTAATTACAAACTCAAATGTATGTTATTTAATTGTATTTAAGGGGTGGGGGGCTGTTGGGAGACAGGATTGTATGTTTTAGCGTGTAAGCCACCCCGGTTGTGTTACACAGAGAGGCGGGATACAAATAGATTATTAATAATAATTATTATTATTACAAACCAATTTTTTGTTGTTGTCCTGTGATGTTACAATCCTTCACTTTTTGTGAGAGGTATAGAAGAAATCTTATGGAGAAATGTAGAAGAGAAGAGAAGGCAAATCCGGAATTATTTTACCATTTCGTTTTCTTCTTCAGTCATCCCATAGACCTTATTACAAACAGCAATAAAGTTCTTCCTTCTCAATGCTATTCTTTGTTCTGACCTGCCAAAAATTTTGACACAGGTCAAAGTTCAGGAAATATGCATTTGTGAAAAGGTTAAAATACTTGAGGGTGAACGAAGAATAGCATTGAGAAGGATGAACTTTATTGTAAAATTGCAGCACAGGACGACAACAAAAAATTGGTTTGTTGTAATATGCATTTGTGTTTGTAAGTCATTTTGTTAATATACTAAGAGCTGATTTGGCATTTATTTTGGTGCTCTGTTCTTGTGATACTATCTATAATTGAGGCAGGTGCTGACTTTGTTTGGGGTCAGTACACATACACACACAATCACACACACAACAAAGACGGCAGTGATCCAGGAAGCTAAGCAGAAGCAGACCTGGCTAGGATTTGGAAGGGAGATTGTCCTGGAAGGCCATTGCAAGGCTCTTCCGAATAATAAATTATGCCAAGGAAACCCTATGAGAGGGTTGCCTTAACT